TAAGCCACTATACAATAAGGTGAGTTATGTTTAAGCCTCATTAGTTCTTTAATGTTACATAAAGGACATAACTTAGTTAAAGTTGGTCACGACACTTATGTGCGAGGAAGGGGCACATAAGCTCACTAATCCGATAATAATTCCCTTATATTATATGAACCAAATCACCAACGTCACGTCACGCCTCTGGCGAGTTGCCTCACATTATATAAATTAAATATTTTGTGTATAAACTGATTTAACCTACGATTCACCCTGTAACAGCGCGCATGTAAAAGTTATCTGTATTACCTTGCAAGGCTTATCACGCATAACTTATTTGTGAGACGGGTCACAATTCATTTTTCTGGAATTAGTACCTTAACCAAAATCAGTCAATTAACTCATGCCACATTGTTCTGAATTTTATTTTGTGGAGAGCCAATTCCGGACCAAAACCTTATCTGGCCTAAATGCGCACAATATATACATGTACTATGGAGTATGGAGTATCAAGCCTTATTTTTTAACAATTTTAACCTTACATGGCTTTATAACTCATGATGCATACACTTACATAATTTATAGAATTCTTTCTCTCATGTATCAATTCCTATCATAGAACTTTTTTTATGTAAGACTGCCCTTTCTAACCTTTTCGAGTTTCAGAGAAGAGGTGAAAAAAAACATATAAAAGGGCAGTATTTCGAATTTATTGTTATTTGTCGCTTTATAGTGATAACAAAACAATGTATTGTATTTCAAAGAATGGTTGCCAAATGTTTATCTGCCAAACGTCAAAATTTTGAGAAAAAATAATGTTAATAAGGCAGAATCTCAATACCACCAAGAGCTAGAAGAAGCTATAACTACGTGTGGAATAAATCATTCGAGAATAAGCGAAAGCTAGAGGATATCTTATCTCGGTTCAATGTAACTTATCCTATCCCTATGGACCATGTTTCTATTGTAAAGGGGCAGGCACATTTACTTCAAAATTGCCCGAATATCTTGCCCCGACTCAAGGGGTGCTGTTTGGATATGGTTATGTTAGTTTTGTATTGGAATGGACGTGTTTTCTATAGTGATTTACTGTAAAAAATTCTGGTTTACTGTACTTACTAACTATTGTGGTGATATAAGTGATTTAGATATGGTTATGTTAGTTTTGTATTGGAATAAACGTGTTTTCTATAGTGATTTACTGTAAAAAATTCTGGTTTACTGTACTTACTCAGTATGGTGATACAAGTGATTTAGATATGGTTATGTTAGTTTTGTATTGAAATGAACGTGTTTTCTATAGTGATTTACTATAAAAAATTCTGGTTTAAGCGCTTCTTGCCCGATCTATACTCAATTTTACCATTCACCACCCAGACATTTATGCTCTGAAAACCTTAGCACATATCCAACAACAACAGCATATCCAAACACTTGACCAAATCCTTAACTCTTCTGACTTTGATATATTCTCACTAAAAGTCAAATTACAACAGCTGCAAAATGCTACATATACAAACCTCTCAATCCTGGATGACCCCCTCACTTTCCTCTGCAAAGAACACAAAACCCATACAGCTCAAGCAATCTTGTCCCTCCATAGCCTCAATATTAGCCTCACTTGCAGTGCAAACAACTGGCCCATTCCCCAAAACAATTCTGGAACCTCCATTAATAGGCTAATTGGCCAACTCAAATGCCTGCAATCAATTAAGACCTCCCTCAACAGACACAACATTGGTTACATCGAACAATTCCTAAACATCTACAACAACTATATTTTAGAGTGAAAGCAGATTTACTATAACATTTCCAAAATCCCACGTGGCAGAACACCCTGATGGTTTTATCAAATTCAAAGTCTGATAGTGGAAAACGCTAATCCCTCAACCACCCTAGTACACCCAAACCTATTCATCAACTAGCAAATCCTTTCGGTAAAAAAACCTGAACTATCACAAATACAAAAACCTTTGGCAAAATATCAAGTTACTAGCAACACCTGGCTATCATACAACACTACACGCTTGACCATTATATTCTCATGCTATCCCGATGCCAAAACTGTATACAGAATAACAAATCACTAAACAAAGCCAAATGCACCTTTATATGTCCGATACAACATCTGTACCAAATTCAAGTCAACTATAAGAGAATTATCCATGCACACCTACCAAGTCTTTTCACCAAAACTTGCCCCTCAACCAACAAACCCATTCACACCTGCACTATTTTACCCACCATCAACTACAGAACCTCACACTATTTTTTCCAAATTTTCACCAACAACCAACCACAAGTTTGAACACTTTTTACTAAAACAAACTTCGACTCATCGATTACCATGTACTTATCTCTTAAAAAATTTCAAGCCAGTCCCCCCCCACTGCCTGTGTGCATTTCACCAAGCCAAACATGACTTGGCTAATTACTAATAAACACTAGCACTCCCCTATCTTAGTGGCACTCTCAACAATTGCACTACTCCTTACAATCAGCCCCCTTATGCCCGAATTACAATTAATACCAAACTACCATGGCTTTTCCCCCTTCTCTCTGTAAACAACTACAACTACTTCGATGAACACAAAGCTGACTTCAATTGGGTTAAACAAATAATCTTCACTATCAAGACTGCAAAGGATTTAACAATCCTATCTCATTTACAAACCAAGAACCTCTAGCAAATAATTCAACCCACCTGGAGATGCAAATCGACCTAGATCCAAGCATGGTCCTAAACTCGGCTTTCACACCAAAATTTCACCAGGTTTTTTGTACTTACTCAATCCATAACTTAACCAAATACTCCACAAAGCTCAAAACCGATTCAACTGGCTTCATCAAAACAGAAATATCACTCTAAATAACCTTCATCCAGAAATCAATTGGCAACTAATCTTCAAATCTATTAATTACAAAAATGAACCTTTACAACGACACACAGATCCCAAAAAGCTAAACTAAAAGCATTCAAAGTGAAATTACTAACTAACAAACTACCTACTTACCTTGCTTTGTTCAACAGAAATCCAGCTAAGCACCCCAATCCCTATTGTGCAAAATGTCCAGACCAGATCAAAAACATTTCCCACTTACTATCTTGCCGACACCACTCATTATCTCTATGACAACTTACTATCAACTTGATCAAAGAAATTAGTAAGAAACACACGCTAACAACTCTGAACCTCGAGCAATTCACACAATTCTTCATTACGCTTCATACTCAACATCAAGTTCCTCTTGGAGTAATCTCTAATGCAAATCTTGGTCCTTTTGCTACAAAGAAAATTAATTCAAAATAGCACCTAAACTATACTATCAAATTATAAAGACAATATATACCAATATTTAGAAAACAAGTAGGATCAATCCTCAATTACCCTTGACTTCTAACTGTCCGGTTCTAGCATTTTCCCCAAATGCTATAAGGAACACACCTCCTGTACCACAATACTACTCGACTTGGTTAAATAATTTCATAGTTTCTAACCAAACCAACCCTAATTTCATAGCCTAGAGGTTTTGACCCATCTAGCCAAGAATGGGTTGTGAATAAATTCTTTTAGATAGCTCTAACCTTTCATTCCTCTAAATTTCAATATGTCTTCTTACTTTGTAACATAATCATATTTTAATAAAGTGAATTGAGGAAAGACCTCTCTTGAAAAAAGAAAAATAAATAAAAAATTCTGGTTTACTGTACTTACTAACTATTGTGGTAATACAAGTGATTTAGATATAGTTATGTTAGTATATATTGGAATGAATATGTTTTCTATAGTGATTTACTGTAAAAAATTCTTACAGACTATTGTAGTAATACAAGTGATTTAAATATAGTTATATTAGTTTTACTGTACTTATGCGCTATGGTAATACAAGTGATTTAGATATGGTTATGCTAGTTTTGTATTGGAATGAATGTGTTTTCTATAGTTATTTACTCTGGTTTACTGTACTTACTCACTATGATGATACAAGTTATTTAGATATGGATATGTTTGTATTAGAATGAAAGTGATTTCTATAATGATTTACTATAAAAAATTCTTACCGACTATTGTGGTGGCACAAGTGATTTAGATATGGTTATGTTAGTTTTGTATTGGAATAAACATAAAAAATTCTGGTTTATTGTACTTACTAACTATTGTGATGATACAAGTGATTTAGATATGGATATGTTAGTTTGTATTGAAATGAACGTGTTTTCTATAGTGATTTACTGTAAAAAATTATGGTTTACTGTACTTACTAACTATTGTGATAATACAAGTGATTTAGATATGATTATGTTGGAATGAACGTGTTTTCTATAGTGATTTACTGTAAAAAATTTTTATCGACTATTGTGGTGATACAAGTGATTTAGATATGGTTATGTTAGTTTTGTATTGAAATGAACGTGTTTTTTATAGTGATTTATTGTAAAAAATTCTGGTTTACTGTACTTACGAGCTATGGTGATACAAGTGATTTAGATATGGTCATGTTATTGTATTGGAATGAACATGTTTTCTATAGTGATTTACTATAAAAAATTCTTACAGACTATTGTGGTGATACAAGTGATTTAGATATGGTTATATTAGTGGGCCTTTTCAAAGTGAATTTACTAGTAGATTTGTAGGTGCAAATTTTGTATTGTAATTGTATTATATTACTTATACACATGTACTAAATTAGAAATAAAGTAAAAAATATATTATGCGATAGAATTAATTTAGAAATAAAGTAAAAAATATGTTATGCGATAAAAAAAACTCTTTTCTGTAGATCTCAATTTATTAAGTAAAATAAATTAGCATACAAAGTACACACCGATTAGAACTAGAACTAAGTTTTAATTAAAAAACCAAACTATATTGGTGCCTTCAGGCAAACAGCTCCCACCAAGTCAACACTAAGTACTAGCAAAATAGTGAAAAGGGAAAGACCTACAAGCTACACAACTCCAGACGCCTTTGAACCCTTTTTTCACATTTAATCTAACGCCACCTCTTCACTTGATGGACTCTAGTAGGACATCAGGTGAAACTACTGAACAACTACCAACAGAGGATAATGCTGAGACAAGACCCACGAAAAAGTCTAAAACAGTAAAACCAGTCGAGACTGATACCCAACCAGTTAACTTTACTTCTGTAGATAATCAAAATGCCTTGACAACACAGACACAAAGTGGGGATTCTAGCTTACCCCCATCAAAATGTAGTGTAACACCAAATATAGAAAACACAACAAGCGTGGGAGAAAATATAGAAAGGGAAAACAAATTTTACAGGGACCCTAACAAAAATGATAGACAATGAAACTAATCAAGAAATGGATCTACAATCTAATGCAATAATAGAATCACAGCCGCCCATGTTATACAGTAACGTGCTTAAAAAGAATATAAAGAAGAACAAAGATGAAACTTCACTTATATTGGCAATGAAGTCACGCAAACACTAGCTAAGCTACGTGTACTGGAATTTGATACTACTACATGGCATAATGATAAAATCATTCAGGCTTTTGGAGATAAAGAATTGTTAGATGACTTTTGGGTGCATAAAATCAAAGCTAAGCCCACACAACATAACTTACCACTAGCAATAGCACAGAAATTTAAGCATCTTGACACTGCCTTTTTCTAAACCTTCTCTAAAGACAAAGATACAAAACCTGCTCATCAAAAAGAATTCAATAGCCTATTCCAAATGGCAATCAAAAGATATAAGAGGCTCTATAATACAACCTTCATTAACAAAACAAACAGAGACCAAATCTTTCAGAAGCTCAAGACCAAACTGGCTATTAACTTTATTTGCAATATTGACTTTCTGTTAGTAAGCCCTCACGACTGTACCTGATACATTTTTTATGCTCTAAATTTTGCAAGGATCACATGTAATCAGGAATTTGAGGACAAATCGAATCTATCCATACCCGATTATTAACTCCCTTACCTATAAATCCACAAGGAGATAATGAAAATTATGCCATTTCCACTCCCAATAGTTGATCAGAAACTAACTAGAGCTACAGTATTAGCATTGAGAAAAGTCTATCAATTCACGAAACTGCCCAATTCATACTTTGAACATCCCCTTGAGGAACTTCCTGAGAACTCTAACAACTTACGTTCAGAAGTTCGGGATCTGTTCCCGATTACCGAACATGCAAGACTTCCATACCTAACACAATATAAACAAAAATTATTAAAGTTTTATGATATAGAAAAAATGCCACCTAGTTACTTTAAACTCCCACTAGCAAAACCCAAACTTCCCTCAACACCACAGGAGCTAAACTCTGCAGTTCGGAGTTACTTCCCATGCAACCCCATTGATAGTACAGAGCTGTGATATCATGTAGATAAGTTGAGAGAACACTATAAGTTTAAGAGAATACCAAACAACTACTTTGTACAGAAAACTTCACTACCAGCAGATCCTCTGCAGATCAATGTCCAAAAGCAATATGAATTTCCAATCCAGGACACAATGAAGGCAAAGGAATTTGTTGCTGAGATTCATGCAACCTACAAATACAACCTACCTCTGCCACTCCAATACATGATGGCTAACCCTACGGATAAGCCACTGCTACCTCAGGACCCTGAAGAGGTTAAATTAGTAAACTTAATAGTTCCCATAACATCACCAAGACAGTTGGTAAACACAGCTAGAATACTAAAAGAACACTACTTTTTTTGTGAAATTCCTGCCGAATAGATACAAATAATACCCGGGGCAAGTGCTCAACCAGGAACACCCCTATTGCCAACAACAGTAGAGGAAATTATGAAAAAATTAGAGTCAGTAGAAAAACCACCATCATTTATCCTACCAATTACTAAGCAAGAAGAAGTTGAATGCACAGTCAATTTCTTAAAGAAACACTTTAACTTTGCAGGCATACCTACTCATATCATTAATATTCCTGATTTACCCGAGCCCCAATGGGATATTTTCAATAACTACTCCCCTCACATATGAATACAGATAACAACACACCAGACTTACAGTTCAATTTAAAATCTATACCAAACAATCAAACTAAAAACACAATTGACAAAATTAAAATAATTAACCACAACGTCCAAGGCCTCAACAATGATATAAAATTACAAGAATGGCTGGAATACTGTCATGAAGAGGAGATCCAAATCATTGTTATAACTGAGACAAAATTATCACAATCAACGGCATCTAGGAAGGCCTTCTCTAACCCGCTATACAAAATTTATACAGCCAACAATGACGTCGACCACGCAGTAAATAGAGAGGTGAGCCTCGGTGTTGCTATTGACATCACCCCCTCTCTCAAACCATACATTAGAAATATTAAAACAATCCCAGGCCTGCTACTAATGATTGACTTTCAATTCCTCTATAAACAACAACTACAACTAATTGCAATATATATTCCATCAGTTCTGACGAATACAGCTAATAAGGCACAGACTGAAGCAGCACAATTGATTCAACAAGCTAGAGCAGCACATTTAGACTTAATTGTAGCCGGAGACTTTAATAGTAACATAAATAGACCAAATCAATCTAGAGTAACACCTATTATTACTCACCTTTATCAATATGGTATGATTAGCCTCTTGGAGCTATATGACATAATCGAATCAACATGGGAACGAAATGAGATAAAAAGCCAAATTGATAATATTTGGGTGAACCCAGAAATTGCACTAGCATTTGAACTCTTGTTATTAATAGATGCAGACTATACAACTAGGAGCAACCATAAAATTCTTCAGACAGAATGGCACATGGTATCAATGCTAAGTAAGCAGAGAACGAAAAAACAAAAGCGAAAAGTTTACCTCTATGACAAAACAACAGAGGATGATTGGTCACAATTTGCCAAACAGATTGAGAGAATCTGAAAAATTCCCCAATCTCTAACTTGGTAGTCAATGACAGAGAATCCCTGAACCGTTATACAAATATCTGGTACAGTATAGTGAAACAAGCGGCTAAAGATAATATACCATCCTCTACCACTACACCGAAAGTGTTTCATACACACTCTTTTAAGACAACTCAACTGCATAGAGGACTAAAAGTTGCAAATAAAACTCTAGCAATTTTCAAGTTAGTCCATCCACTGCTTGTGCCAGAATATATAGTACCACAGATAAATAAGGAATTGAAAATCCTAAGTGACCTAACAGGAATCCCTATCTCACCAGTTACAAATACACACTTTATTAGTTCACAATACACCAATACTCTACAGTCCTTAAAACAAATTCGTAATACAGCCTTTATTGCACGAACAATGCAGAACAATGCAGAGAAGAAAAAAAGAATAAACTCTTTCGTAGAGAAAAGATATTAGAAATTTGTATCTAATACCTCTGCAATAATAAACAGTATTTTGTGAAAGAGTAGAGATTAAGTAACATATCATAATATTGTAACTCCATCACAAATTATTACAGAACCAAAGATGATCAAAGAAGCAGTCAAAGCATATTTTAAGAATTGGACCAAATTAAATAAAAGTGATCCACAGGAATGGCCTAGCTGGGAGAACTACTATAAATCTAAAATATGCATAACATCCAGAATCTATAACGAATTACTTGAGCCTATAACTATACCTAAAATGCAGCAGGTAATAAGTAATACACCATTAGGCAAAGCAACAGGACCTTCAATGATCTCCAATGAGATGCTACATAACCTACCAATGATAGCCTTTGAAACCTTGCTATACTTCAAAAGCATGGAATAACAGTCTGGTTTGGCCTATCGCAAAGACATCATATATGGAGGAAGATATGGGACAGACCCGGCCTATAACCCTAATCGAACACCCTCGCAAAGTTTTCACTAAAATACTAACAAACCATATGAATAAAATATTTATTAGTCACCAAATACTAGACCCTTCAAATAATGTAGCACTACTATATACATCAACTTTAGAACCAATACAACGATTAGCTCAGTTGAGAGAAGATGCAGAGATGAATAAGAATAAGCTTTGGATTTTATCACAGGACATGTCGAAGGCATACAATACAGTACACTTACCATTGTTACGTTGTGCACTAGAAAGAATAAATCTACCATCCAAAATCACCAACACTCTAATCAACTGCTTCTCTAATCGCCAAAACCAAGCATTAACAACCATTGGTAGAACTGGTCTATATCAGGTCGAAGATGGGATAGACCAGGGTAAGATCCTGTCACCTCTACTCTGGTGTATTTATTATGACCCCCTAATAAGCCGTATAAACAAGGAGCTCACGAGTTACAAGATGTTTACTAATATCTCAGAGAAAGAGAATCAAGATTGTCTAAATACTTCTGTAATAGCATACATGGATGATACTACTTGGATCGCACAGAGTCAGTCACAATCCTAAAAGTGGCAGCATCCTTTTATAAACTTGCGAGTATCACCATAAATCTACTCAAATTTACTTTAACATATAACAACAACAAAGATTTAAATCCAATTAAATTTTAAAAGATCGATATTAATAATATAAAACCAGAACAAACACTGAAGTTCCTTGGGACATATTTAAACTAGTCCAAAAGAAACGAGCTGTATACAAGGCAATCACTAGAGAAGCAAACCTAGAACTAAAAAACTAAGATTTTCTATAATAACTGACAAACAAGTAATATATATATAATAAATACAGTCATACTAGCTAGAGTTAGATACAGACTTCAAAACACTGTCCTTCCCAGCTCCTTATGTAAAAAGATTCAACAAAGCTATGTAAATATAGTAAAACAAAAAGCAAACCTGGCGCGCTCCGTACTAGATTTAACACTCTTCCACCCTAGTAGAAGCACTTTGGGAGTTCTGGCACAATTTTTGTTACCTATATCAATCTTGCATATAAATTCGCTTTTGCGTCATCAAATCAATGATTTCTATCTAGAATGCATTTATTTACCCAAATTCATATCAGAATGGATAAATGACGATAAATTTA